GCCAGGCCACTCCGGACCCTGAGTGTCCTGGTACTTTGGCAGTGGACGTCCTCCTGAAGGGCAAAGTCTGGTGTAAAGACAACAGGCCAAACAGGCTGAAACAGTAATAGATGAAGTCATGCATATTAGGACAAAGAGCCATTTTCACACACATTGAGAAAGTTTTAGAAAGTTAATACCGAAAGTCACTAGGGTATGGGGAAACTGGCACCTTTATGCATTGTTGGAAAGTGTTAATTGGAATAAATTGGAGGCAAATCTGGTAGTTTTCATTAAAATCTGTAGTGCATATACATTTTTCCATAGCAACTTAACCTCCAGAAAAACCCACAGAACTCAGTAATCTATGTGTGAATAATTTCTGTGCAACATTTGTTTTTTGTGATTAGAAACAGCTCAAATGCCTATCTAGAGGAAATTTTCTAAAGAAGAAAGAACAGAAGGAAAGGAGGAATTTAGAGAGCAAGGAAAGAAGCCAGAAAGAATAACGGAAGGGAAATATCCATCATGAACACGGACGAGCGATCCTAGACACGTCGTAAGTGAAGATGTCTGAAACATGTTTGCTCCTGGAGAAAACGTTAACCAGAGCGGCACATTTCAGTTTCCCTCATGGACAGCACAGCAGGGTCCAGAGTGCAGTGCTGCCCACCCTACGGATGGCTAGGCGTGCTTCCCTCCCAGGTGAGGGATTCCCCTGCTCTGTGTGCAGCTTTTCCTTCTCCTGGGCCTCTGCCAAGGGCAGGTGCAGGGTGGGGAAGTCATTGTCCCTGCTCTGGGGGTGGGAGGAGCCGGGACGGACTGTTCATCAGAGTCTGAGTAAGGGCGCCTGGGGAGCCCCTCGACCGGGAAAGCGTCTACCTCGAGCGGCTCCGCCCTGGCACAGTGCCCCCAGAGCAGGTCACTGGGCCTTCGGACCTCACAGCGTGGTGGGAGGCAGCCTGGGACGGCCTGGGGAGGGCAGTGAGAGGGGCTGTTGTCCTGAGGGACCCGAACCGCACCTCTGGTTGTCCAAGGGAAGAGTTAGGTTTAAGAAGGAGACCAAACCCAGGTGCAGTGATTCTCTCCCGTGCTTCCCTCAGGGGCTGCGCTATCAGAGAGCAGTCTCGGGGCCCTCGGCAAGCTTTTCCTCCTGCTTCCTGAACACTGCCTTTCCTCTACCTGAGACAGGTGGCTCGTGTGTGTGTGTGTGTGTGTGTGTGTGTGTGTG